GCAGAACACAGATGATTTTTACCTTGTCAGATGACACACCATATCGGCTAGAAGGATTTGTATCATTATTAACAATGTCAGCTGCGATAAACTTCATCCTATTATCAATGAAGTTCGAGTCACACAGCAACGGTAGAATTAACAATGTGCTCTCAGAAACTCCGTCCAATATTAAATGATAATGCAACTATTTTAATCGTGAAGCTAAGACTGTTTTTCTTTGTGCTACTGGTAGGATGCTAGAAAAATTATCCAATTTTAAGTATTATCAGCACAACGATGATCACTTTTATTTACATGCAAAAATTTCAAAACAATTTTATGAGGATTTTTTTCTTCCATCATATAATATGTTTTGTCTCCAGGATCACAGAATAGGTAAAAGTACTTTCTTCTGTACAAAGATATTTAGAATAAATTGTTTTTATTTTTTTAATATTCATGCTGAAACATATGACTTGATGGTTGAAAGCCAATTTTCTTTCATTGCACCACTTTCAAATCAAACTTATAAAATGAAGAGGATATACAAATTATTCTTCTGTGTAATTGTCTAAGAACAAACAGTCATCGCATTGAAGCAAAATGAATGTAGCTTATCACCATGATCCTCTTTAGTATTATATATGCGGTGTAAATGATACAGGAGCTTACAAAAGCATAGGTTCGCACATTCTGATCCACATAAAGTCCGTTAGACTAATCACTTAGGACCCCCTCATGATTTTACCGAGATATAAAGCATATATCAAACTTTCAGAGAAATTTCTTATATGTACTGGTCTTCATATGTACGTTGAAGTTGTAGTAGTACTGCCACTCAAAGCGAGAAGGCTCCTCTTGGATGGTAAAAATGGTAGTCTACATAGACGAGGGTATCGAAGAAGTAGCCTGTGAAAGAAGCTGATAACCTATATCTCTGCTTCAATCTCATGACACCAAGTTACCTTCGCACTATCGGTGGTGGTGCGTAGCCATCGTCTTCGGCAGAAATATTTTCATTCAGATCCTTGAGGGCAAATCCTCTCTGCTCCCTAGTTGCGCCTATAAACTTTCTAGCATTTCTATTTTGCGTGTTACCGATGTTCCGAATATTTACCTGGTACAGTATTGTCTAATATGAAAGCAACTACTCCTGCTATAAGCATTCGAATGCTCAGAAGCATATTCAGACAGTCATCCATGGTCTTCACTCCTGAATAGTAAGCATTGGTAGCATGGGTTTTTCTGAAGTGAGCGAACACATTCAATTGAGTTCAAGGGTCCCACCTGTGTTTACTCGGTTGTTCTCAAAGTGGTGTGGGATCACTGCTCCCATCAAGATGGCTGTCCCCATGATTGTTAAATTACGAGTCAGCCGTAAATCAACGTTCTTAATTAATCTAACTACTTCGAGCTTCGGCCACCATTCAGAATAACTATCATCCACTCTTGTTCTTCTGCTCACCTGCAAGTTACTAATTGCTACGCCAGTTATCATGGCTACCCCCATTGCGAGTATTCCGCCAATAACAGCGTCTGGAATTGAGGCTAACACAGCAGCACATTTGGTAAAGAGGCCAGTTAGGACAAGCAGTACACCAGCTACTTGCATAGTAGAACGGCTCACTACCTAAATTAATGGAAGTATTTATGCAAAGTAAGCGTTTTAGTAATGAAGGAGTTGTGAGACATACTTTGTTGCTATTAGTTTGACAATGAGATGCTTAAGATAAGATTTGGCTAACTTTAAATTTTAAATTGTCTTCTTCGCAAGCTTCCTTCAGCATGGCATATGCAATCGGGTGTTCAAGCTTATTTTCTTGAAATACCGTCTTTTCTTCATTACGGCCCAAAAGATTTGCAGTGTAAATGTCTTTGGCAACTAAAAAATTGTGCATATTTGCAGCTTAAAAATGCGAAAATCACATTCTAAACGTAATGAACTCTAGCCGTATAGGTCATTAGAAAAATGTGCTCATCTTTTGTCGATGATTTGTTAAAACTCAACATTTAGAATTTCTTAAAGAGACTGCTTGAGTCAGCAAGCGCTAATCGTCCGAGAACACACATTCAAGGAAAATTGGATTCAGCTTGTTCGCTTCGAATTATCATCGTATGAAAATGATAGAGTTATTTTGAGTAATATTCTAGAACCTCAAGCACTATACCAATTCAGGCTATAAGCGTTATCATCCAATTGTTTAATTGGATAAAACCTTATAAATAATCTAAAAAATTCTAATTTATGCAAGAACTGCTTATTTGGACTACGTGACATCAGCCTATTATTATTAGTCTTTACTTGTCAACCACATAATGCTTGTTTTCCGAAAATATCATTTCATTTACACAACGTCTTTAAACCGCAATTAGCTGCTACTATTGGTATCATCCTATCATCTTAATACCTTCTTTCTAGGATACCCTAGAAGATGGAAACCCTCATGAAATATGGAAATTAGTCTCTCTCCGCTTCAAAAAAGTGATTGTTGGATTGACCACCTTAGTGATATGCATTAATGCGATATTCTCAGCATAAGTAGTGACACCAGTAGCAAGTCCCACAGAAGCAGCTAAAGCACTGCCAACTCCTAAAAGAACAATTTCGTCTTAGTGACGTTTGATAGTGAACCTTAACAAAACCTTCAAAAATTATTCCTCGATTTACTGACGATGAAGGAGGCGTTCGTTGATGGGAGACCTAATACAGGGCAAATAAATTGAGGAGGAAATGTGTTTTTCATTGTTCACTTACCCTAGCGCAGGTTTGATAATCACCAATACTTTCCATCATACATGCAATACATGAGGAGAGAAATCCCAATGTAAGACCAAATGAAACATGAGGGCATCCAAACTGGCCTAAAAAAATGATTGGTACTACAGAAACATGTTCAAAGGAAAATAACTTTCAAAATGTTCATATTTTTCTATAATTTGAAATTTCTCGATATATCAAAGTACACCTTATCTTTGAAAACAATTGAAGTGCTGGGTGTTAGGCTAATTTAAACTCTCACGATCTAAAACAACGACGCAATGAGTTATCATTTGGTAAAAATGCACCTGGGTATGGTATTTGAAACCAAGGAGACTGAGCAATGACCGCCATTGTGTAGTTTTTATCCGTCCTTGCCTCCCCGCCCTTCGGTTCTACTTCAGTAACAGTGAGCAGAAGACAAATGCACCAAGCGACCGCAATTGCTATCAAATACTAAACTACAATGCAAAAGGAACTACATATATGGGCAATTAATACTTACAGGAAATTGCCCAAATATGCGTGGTCTCCCTATTCGACATGTTCGTTTAGCAATGGAAAAATACGGGAGTGGAACTCGTACATTTTCAAGAAATACGCCCATTGCGATAAGAGTGCAGAAAGTTCTGCAAATGTTTAGTTTT